TCCCCGCACGCTCGCCTGCCCGGCGGGCGCGTGGGCCCGAGCCTGAGGCGAGAGCGCGGGATCCCAAGGCGCCCAGGAAGGGGAGGCTGCGATCCAAAACGACCTTGGTGCCCTCGGGAGTCTCGGCCAGCTGTACCCAGGTGCCCCTCAGACCCACCCGAGGACGCAGGCGTCACGGGTTGAGGAGAAGCCAGGAGCCCCGGCGACCCCGGGATGGCTGCGGACTTCCGGCGCGGAGCGAGGCTTCGCTGTGCGTTCGCCGCCGCCCTGGGGAGGCGTTACCCCACCTCACAGGAGGGGACTCGAACTCGGCCGCCGTCGCGAGCCACCCCCGCGGTGGCCGTGGGCTTCCTCCCTCAGGGCCCGGCCACCTCACTGTTGAGGCGGGAAGAAGCCGCACGACGGCCGCCTCCGATGGCGACAGTCCCGGGACGCACTCCCCGTCCCCGCCCCCATCCCGCGCCGGCGCCGACTCGGGGAACACTCCGAAAGAACTCGCAGGGCCGTGGGGACCGGGGCCGGGCGCCGGTGCCGACTGGAAGGAGGGACACGGAGAGGGGGCCGGAGTCACGGGGACACTGGCAGAGCTCTCCCGTGCGTATCCAGCGACAGCACTCTAGGCGGTGACCTTAGACCTGAGCTTGATGTAGTTCATGCGACTGGAGTCATCGCGATGGCGCTGCACAGCCCCGTCGTTGTAAATGGGACGCCCACTTTCCCAGTTTGCGATCACTGTCCTGTTCTTGGAGAGAACAGATATGTACAGAAACCCCAAAAGGCAGAAGCAAATTTGTTTCAAAATCTTGTCTGTGGCTTCCAAACAAATTCAGATTTCAGACTGAGCTGGTTTACTGCGCGTTATAAATGGAAATCTTTATTTTTTCTCTCTCTATTTTTAAGAAATCCTGTTGCAAGGTCGTTAATCACATTATCCATTATACCAGAAACAAATGGATTTGTCACTTGTGCACAGAAGCTGAGGTTGATTCTGAAAACAAATTGTATCAAAATAAATGAAATTATTATGATAATGTAAAAGAGACCGCAGTGATTAATCTCTAGAAACCGAATTCTGACCTGCTTTGCACTTCAAACAATAGCTTCTGTTATGTAAATAGTTGTAGGCTTTTCAAGGACAATGTTGCTAAATTACAAGGAAAGTTCTATTCATTTAAATCTCTTCTTGAATAAAAATAAGAGACAGGAAACCTGGTCTACACAGTACCCAAAGCAGAGGACAATGGAAGTAATGATGGTTCAGGTAAGAATATTCATTAGTAGAAAAGTATGGAGTGGGAAATGGGGGCTGAGCAATGGTCTCTGTTGGTCTGTATCTCCAGGAGGTAACAGTTTCACCTTGTGAAGATGACCTTGAATGGACTCATTCTTCCTACATCCTTCTAACTTCAGCTCCTTGAAAACTCCAGAAGTTCAAATAAGCCCACCTATACCCAAATTACAATAATAAAGGCAACAAGGTTGCAAAGCACTTTATAAAATGTTTCATTTTAGATGACTCATAAAACACCAAATCCAGACATATTCAAAATTACCCAGATACGAATGAGACTTTTCAATTTTCACTCATAGGTTTGATGTTCTTTTACTCACAGACCTAAGTGGATCTTAATTGAATGGGACAATAGAGTATTATTGTTCCTATAGTGTTCCATATAGCCTTTCTTGACACAGATTGATACATTCATATTTGCAACTACTTGAAATAGAGGCTTGTTCCTTTAATAATTAAATAAAATCAAGTGTATTTCCAGAATTCTAATTTCCTCCTGAACAAACAAAGCAGTGTACAGGAAGACATAAAAATAGCTTATATCCCCAAATAATTTCTCTTAAACTTTTAAAAAGAGATTCCAATATGAAAAGTGATTAGCAAAATTGCCAAAGCCCAGATGGAAAGACCCAGACATTTAAAATGTTATTTTCTTTGTAGGCAGTATGATTAGAGGGTTTAGTTAACAGGGTATATGCTATTAGGGTTTTATTTTATCTTCCTGGTGCAATGGAAAGTCTGCTGGCTTAGGGATGAAGGGTCTGAGTCCTAATACCAACACTGCTACTAGCTAAGGGCTTCTGGACAAGTCATTTCTCCTTTCTGGACCTCAGTTTCCCTGTGTTTAACAGTGTTTAACATATGGGGATTAGACTTAAACTCTCCAAAGGCCCTTCCAGCTATGCTCAGGAGCTTGGTAGTTTAGGGAAAAAATGAATTACTGTTCCATGTGATGAATGTTTCAGAACATTGTTTTTTCTGTGTGTGTTATGAACCACCTGTAGCCAGGGGTAAGTATGAGAAGGCAGGGTGATTGTGTAATCAGCAGGTAAACCTTCCCAAGGGAGATGCTGTTGCTATGTTTGAAACCTGCTCTTGACAACATCAAAGCTCATCCTTGATTTACTCACAGCACAACAATCCTGTCTACCTGCATGTATGACTCATGCTACCCATGAGGATGGCCTTGTGCGTGGCAGAGATCAGGACACCCAGATTTTCCTCCACTTCAAAAGTCGTGCATATCCGCAACAGTGAATCAGCTCCACCTAATCTCTTAGTGTAACTGATGCTGCAGCATAGTAACCACCCACTCATTCACTATGACTGCTGGTCCCAGGTCAGCTGAGAGCCCAGTATGGACTTAAACCATGTGCTGGGAATCCTGATGAGCTCATTCCGCCTCCATTTTATTGCTCCATCTGTTTGGTTCCCTTGTTCTTCTCACATGCATTTTTATCTTGGTTTTCTGGGAAATGTGCTAATTTCCACCATGGTGTCAGAGGATCCCATCTTATACTTTCTTATATTTCCTCCTCTAGTTCTCAGTGCCACTTGGGAAGTCAAGAATGGGGGTTCAAGCTCAGTAACACAGAATCCAAGGACAGCTTCCCACAAACTTGAATCAGGAACTGTCCTCGGTGCTGAATTTCGATCGGAAGGGGAAATAAGGATGGAGGGAAGGGTGTGTGTAGGATTCAGTACAGATACATACAACAGAATTTGGAGGCTCCACAGAATCCTGACTAATATCCTTTTATGCATAAAATGCTACAACCCTCTCAAGAGTGGATTTTTCACTACCCTGAACTGCAAGGTAGAGTGGAAAGAGCTAGGGCTTTGGAGTCAGACAGCTTTTGTTTCAGTCCCAGTTTTATAACTTGCCATTTGACCTTGAGAGAATGGCTTAACCTCTCTGAGCCTCAGTTTTCTTATCTCTAAAGTCAAAGCTAAATTTACTACAAAGTATTGTTGTCAGGCTTAAGTGAGACAACGTATGCAACCAAGTTTGGCATATGGAAGATGCACAATAGATACTAATTGTCTTTTTCTTGCCCTGTTAACTGAATTCTCCCCTTTTCTCAGCCAAATTATATAAATCCTTTAAAAACTAGGTTTAAATTTTTTCTTTACTTTTTACAATATTCTTTAGAATAAAATAAGGCAAGAATTCTTGAGAAAAAAACAGGCCAACCTCCATGGAGGAAAGATAAAGGATGAGAACTTTATCTTTCAGGAAAACTTACTGGAATCTCAACAAGAGAAAGGTATCCTACTCTGTGGGTTTTTTAAAATGATAAAACATGTTATTATTGAACTTGAATCAGAAAATTCACCTAAGGGATGGCCTGTTAGCTCACATGGTAAAGTGTGGTGCTGATAACTCATAACACCAGGGGTTGAGGGTTCAGATCCCTATGTTGGCCAGCTGCCAAGAAAAAAGAAACAGAAAATTCAGTAAAAGTGAACTATTTCACATTTACACAAGTTTAGAGTATATCACTAGACTGTGTGCCTGGACCTATCTAAAAGATATGTAATATTTAACATTTCAATGAGTCTGAGTTTGTATTGCTATGGGATCCCAGTAGATCGAAGCTCTCACATAAAGCAAATGTTCTTTCTTCAGTGCATCTGGGTTCTTCTTGAATAACATATTTCTGGTTTAATTTTAGAAGCATGACATGTGAGACACTGAGTTTCTTTTTTTTTTTTTTTTTCCTTTTTGTCTTTTTTCGTGTCCGGCAACGGATCGCAACCCTCAGTGTCGTGCCCGTACCAGGCCGGGACCGGCAATGGGATCGCAACCCTCAGTGTCGTGCCCGTACCAGGCC